CAAATAAACGGTTACATGCTGTAAATAAGCCCTTAATTTTGTACATGTGAAATATAATGCAAGACATAATTTTTCAATGGCAGAGTAATTACATTCACATTTTGTTAACCGTCTACTCAAGTAGTAAATAGCCCTTTCTTCTCCAAATTAGTTTTCTTGCACGACAATTTCAGCTATTCATTCTTGTTCAACCGATATATATACTTTCATTAGCCATCCTTGGATTGGTGACACCAGCATGGTAGACTTGATAAATATATCTTTAGGCTTTCAAAAGCCTTTTGATGCTCTTCTTTCCAAAATTATTCATCTTGATTTTTCAACTTTAAAAGCGGCGAAAAAGTTTTAGTTCGCTCTGCACAGCTAGAAATAAAGCGTCTTAAAAAGTTTACTTGACCTAAAAACCCTTGTAATTCATTTTTATTGTTAGGTGGTTTGGCCTCTAAGATGGCCTTTGCTTTATTTTGTCAAGTTCAATTCCCCTTTTGTGCACTAGGAAACCAAGGAAATTTCCTGCATTAACACCAGATGTACACTTCAAGGGATTCAATTTTAGTTTATATTACCTCATTCGTTCAAATGAACATCTCAACTGTTCAAAATGGTCTTCTTCTTTAATAGATTTGACCACTATATCATCTACATACACCTCAGCAAACTTGCCTATCATACCGTGAAAAATCAAGTTCATTGCCCTTTGATAGGTCGCTCCTGCATTTTCAGGCCGAAAGGCATAACTACCCATTCAAAACATCCTAAAGATCTAAGGCATCTAAAGACAGTTTTATGTATATCTTTCTCAACTATATAAATTTAATGATATCCTGAATACCCATCCATGAAGGAATATATTAAGTCCCCGGCAGTTGAATCTACTAAAGAATCTACCTAGGCATTGGATATTCATCTTTGGGTGTGACCATGTTTAGGTTCCTAAAGTCTATGCACACCCTTAACTTACCATTCTTTTTTAGTACGGCACGATATTGGACAACCACTCAACGTATCTGGTTGTTCTAATAAAGCATGCTTTTAATAATCGCTCTATTTCTTTCTTTATCTCGGGAAGTACGTTAGGAGCAAAACGCCTAGAGGGTTGTTTATGAGGTTTGAAACTTAGCTTGGTTGAAAATCTATGTTCTACCAAATATCTATCTAAACTAGGCATATATTCATATTTCCAAGCAAAACAATCCTTATATTCTTTTAATAAAGCGATTAATTTGTCACTAACTTCTTGATTGAGCATCTGGCTGACGAATGTTGGGCGGTCTTCTCCTTCATTGCCAATATTCACTTTAACTAGAGGGTCTTGTACTTGAGCATATCCAGGCTTGGTGATCCCCATTACTTCATCATACATGTCCCTTATAGGCACTTCTTCTTCTAAACAGTCCACTTTGTTGACTTATCGGCCAATACTTTGTTCCAACTCAAATACTGTTAATTTGTCTCCCAATGCTTTCAAAGCTACTTCTTCTTTCGTCTTGTCTTTGCATTCTTTATTGAAAACCATTAACTTGGTTTTGAAGTCCTGAATATCGGCCATTTACCTTTGTTGTTTACAACTCATTTAAAACTCTTAGATTACTTTTTTACCAATTACTAGCTCCTCCAGGGCCACTGTATTTGGCCTCATTTGACGGAACATATCGGTGAGCTCGTCTGCTGAAAATGGCTCTTCGCTCTGCGCAACAATTGAAGTTTCTTCTCCATCTTGGACTACTCTCACAGGTCCATAATTTCCCTCGTACATGAATCTTTCCACGGAGTTTGCTTCTGCGACAAAAGGTCTATGATCTGTCGTACCACTTCTGCTTCACCCTTATCATTCCAGAAAACCACTTCTGCTTCACTCTTTAGGCTATTCAATTTGGACTGTACTTTTAGTGTGTCAACACATATAATTTAATTAAGTGAATAAACTATGCATTGGAAGTTGGAATCTTTGAAGCAATAAATTATAGAGAGTTGGGTTTGGCTCTCCAAAACCCACTCTCTATTTTAAAATGTTAAATTGAAGAGTCTCTTGAAGTAAAATTTTAAATAGCCATTGGAGAGCCAAACCTACTCTCTATTTTAAAATGTTAAATTGAAGAGTCTCTTGGAGTAAACTTTTAAAGATTGACTCTTTAAAATAGAGAGCATTCCAGTTTTAAATAGTCTCTTAGAAATGCTCTTATATGTTAATTTATATTTCATTATTTCATCGGTGTGAATTTATCCCTTGACAATAATTATCGAGTGTAATTCTCTATCTCGTTCTAAATCTTCCGTGCAGGCACTGCGTTTCCGCGACGGATGTCTAGACCATGGGCCCATTTTGGATGTTCTTCGTATAGCTCAACCCATTTAATACCCTTCCGTTAAGTGAAGATGAACTAGAAAGTACTTGATAGTATTAAATATGAAAACAAGCAAAAGGGTGTAGAATATTTTATCTAGTTTTGTTGAGTATTATTGAATGTTACTTTTATTTATGGAAAATGTTGAGTGCACAGAGTAAATGTACATAATGAATGATATAATGTGATGTGGCAATCATCCCGTAATTGATGTAAAAGTGTGAGATTTGAATTAAAGGTTTTGATCAATGTCACTTGTACTTATGTAGACCATTATGTTGACAATTATGTTCTTGTAGCATCACTCTTTATTTATTACATCTCAGACTACATCTCGACCAACACATACCCCATATATTACAAAAACGATATTTCAAGAACGAGTGACAACTCATTCTCATATTACTGAAAACCAACTCAGTAAGGACGTTGGCCAATATAATTTCCAGGTGGATCATAGTTACATATCACAAAAAACCAACCATTACTGCAGTGAACCCCAGCACAACCAAGATGAACTGAATCCCTCCAAACCACCTGCGTATAATGCAGGCATTCTCCACCAACGCAAGAATTTGTGTCATAATCATAGCAAGATTTCTCCCCAACCCACATGCTGACTGCATCTCCAGCAGCCAATTTCTCCCACCCCTCCGCCAGGTTTTCGCCATAGGGCCCTTGCGAGTGCTCGAGCTCGCAATCCGCATACCTTTCGTTCGCATAGTTTAGAGCGTAGGCTGCAACCGTGTCATTCCAGACGAGGGGTGGGATGCCGACTTCTGCACGAGCCTGATTGTGGGTGGAAAGAAAGTCTTGAGGGGAGTTTTGGGCTATGGAAGGAGGAGTTAAGATTAAGATTATTAAGGAAAATATAAGAATTGTTATGTTCAGTGACTCCATTGAAGAAGTAGGTTAGGTGTAGGGGGCTGGAGCAGATATATTTATAGACCAGTTCTTCAAACTGTTGGCAAAACGAATTGTCTTATCTATTTGAACATATTTACGTACCTTCATGAAGGGTGAATAACTAATATTTATAAACCAGTTTTATAGACTGTGATAATTATTACATTAAAACTAAATTCATGGACTTATATATTTGTTCTTTTGGTTTGTGTTTATATGGAAGAAGTTTGCCTTTCATTTCTTGTTTATTTTTAATAATTAGTTAACAGTTGAGGTGATAATTTCATGATTAAAATTCAATAAATTTTAGGACTAAACATGATCCGATTAGATTCAGTTATCTTCAGAATTGAACCGAACTGAACCAAAATTTTCAGGTATTTAATTAATAGAATCGTCGGGTCCAAATATAATTTTGGAACCGTTCGGATTCGGTTCGGTTCGATTCCATACTATAATTAATTTTTTTAACATTTACAGTAATACTACATAAATATAACTAATGACAAATTCATTCGTAGCTATTACAAATTAAATGAACTATCTAACATTAAGAATTTTGAATTCCATCTAATAGGAATATCTAAAATAGCTAGTTTTTTGCATACAATCTTTTCCCTTTCAATACAACATTTAAATTTCATCAACCGGGGAGGAGATGATAGAAAATATCGAATGAAAGTATGAAATTGGAAAGTGAAGGATAAAAACTTAAAAGGCCTAGATGTTGGGCTAACAATGAAATTAATAATTGGGACAAAAAATTAAATTTAGAAATTAGGTTGGACTAACTAGGCATGAACTTGGCTTGGGAGTTGAAGCATTAATCACTAAATTGGTTAATTTGTTTAGAACAAATTAAAATAATGTAATTAATTCAATATAAAAAAGTTTTAAAAAAATTTATTTAAATTTTATTCTTGGTCTAGAATCGAGAACTGAACCAAACACATCAGTTCTCGATTCAGATACTCGTTCGGGTATTTAACTTATGAAGAATCGCTCGGTTCGGGAGTTTTGTCCAACTCTATTAAATTTGGTAATTTTCGAGGTTAATCGAACCTAACTTTTTCTATTAGACGCGTATTCTTGAATCAGCCAAATAATTGATTTATATATAATTCAATTATAGACTGATCAATCTAGACTTGAACATACACCAATACACGGGAGGTTCACAAGCCTAATACGACGATAACTTGTGATTAATTCATGGTATAAAATGAAACTCGTGAATGATGGTGATGGAATTAGAGACCCACCATTAATAAGCAATTATGTGTCATGCTCTATAATTGGTCACAACTAAGGTCGAATATTTTCCTTTGCATATAATCGATTCTAAATTGTAAAAAAAAATGAAAATAAAGCTAGATTAATCGACAGTTCGAAGCATCGCCATATAAATATTTGTTACACGAGATCTCTTTTTAATAAATACATCAGCTCACAACATCGAAATGCGGAATTTGAAAGGATCAAATAGGAAAGAATATTACGATTAAGTGAGGATTTATCGATTTAAATCGGAATCATGACACATAGATATTCCTATGAAAGAAAGATGGGTAGGGTATTGATATTTTAAATATTAACAGTAAAGTCATGTGAATGCATGTCACTATCCAATGCTGGACTATCAGACATTCTAACATGGTAGGAATAATGTTGTATGCCTTGATCATAGAATTTCTGAAACTATTTTTTTAGAGACGTGTATATATAGAATGATTAATACAAGACAGACGGCCAATGTAGAATGAATTGTGTCCTAATAATAAGGAAAATGCTGAGTGTAATGAATGTACACAGTATATGACATAATGTAATGTGACAACCATCATGTCGTTGATATGAAAGTATCAGATTTGAAGTAAAGGTGTTGATCAATGCCACTTGCAATTATGTAGACCATTATGTACTTGTAGCATCACTCTAATAATAATAGTGGTGGTGAGGACCCAAA